CGGCTTCGCGTTTTTGTTCCGTCCGGATTCATCCAAAATCGAAATCAACTTCCGTTTTTTTTCTATGTGTAGCCAACGAGTCCATCTACATAACCATAATTGCTCGGTCTATAATCAACTCCTCACGAGACTTCCGACATGCACACCAAAAACAAAGAAAAACTGGAAAAACACACGAAAAACACAAAGAAAACCAAAATAGAACAAAACACATAATAAAACACAAAACGAACTAAAAACTCACGAAATAACCTAAAATGAAGAAAAATGAGGGGAAAAGAAGAACAAAAATATAGCGAAAAATGCAACAAAAATTGTTACAACAAAAACAAACACAAGAACTAACTATAAAAAAGCTCAATAGCTAAACTAATGCACTCCTCGACAGCCGTCAAACCACCCAGCAAAAAAAACCACGACACCTACCCCGAGGGCAACCACCCACACGGACATTGACATGGTCCAAGACGCAGGCACAGAAACTGTAATATTATTACATCTAACTAGGTTCGAAACCCACAGACAGAGCCGGCTCTTGGGCAAGGCTCCTGCCTAGGGCCTCAATTTTCTAGGGGTCTTTTTTATTATACTTTGTGTTGGGGCTTTTTTAAAAAAAATAAAATAAATTATCTTAGACATGGTTGATGGCCCAATCCATTTACATACATTAATGGGTACAATTTTTTTCTTCTGCCCGAATCGAGTTTCATTTCATAAAATCAAACACTTCAAACTCTAGTTTTTACGTTTGTGTAAAAGTGCAGGAAAAATATCCAAAACTCCATTTTTATTTCAGGTAAAAAACTCTTAGCTCAAAAAGTACATGGGTAGGCTATATATACCCGATCCAATATCCAAACCCTTAAAGTGCACGAAAACGACATAGTTTTGGTCACCAACTAATAACCCCAAGCAAACGACACCGTTTGCCACTAAAGTAATGCATAAAAAGAAAAACGAAAAAAGAAACACGATTTCAACTAAAACAAAAGAAAAAAGAACTTGCTGCATGGCTATAACAGCTCACGTAAGCTGCATCTGCATCATTCAAGCTTCACACTTCAACACCCCCCCCCTCCCCCTCAAGTTGGAGCTGGGTGAAAGACCATGCCCAACTTGGAAACAAGAAGCTTGAAATGTGCTGCCGGTAGTATCTTGGTGAATATATCTGCCGGTTGTGAAGAAGAAGGCACATAAGTAAGCTGAATAAAGCCCTCTTTATACTTATTTCTCACTACATGGCAGTCAATCTCGAGATGCTTAGTCCTCTCATGGAACACGGGATTAGCCGTAATGTGCATGGCTGCCTTGTTATCACACCATAGTGTTATAGGAAGTGGAAGAGCTAAATCCAGATCTATGCTCAAGGAATGTAACCATTGCAACTCACAAACAGTGGCTCCCATAGACCTGTACTCAGCTTCTGCTGAAGAACGAGACACAGTTGTCTGCTTCTTACTTTTCCAAGAAATCAAGTTATCTCCCAAAAAAATGCAATACCCGGTGATAGATCTCCTTGTATCCTTACAAGCTGCCCAATCAGCATCACAATAGCTGTCAAGTATGTGATCTGTTGCCCTCCTATAATAGAGTCCCAGTGTAGCTGTTCCTTTCAAGTACTTCAACACATGAACTGCAGCTTCCAAATGCTTAGTATAAGGGCTGTTCACAAATTGGCTAAGCTGTTGTACAACATAGCTAATGTCTGGTCTGGTTAAGTTGAGATATAGCAGCTTCCCAATCAACCTTCTGTATTGATCTCCTTCCTCCAATGGTTTCCCATCAAAGTTCATCAATTTGAGTCCCATAGGCAGAGGTGTAGGTGGTGCTTTGCTGTTTTCAATTCCCATATCCTTAACCAAGTCCATCACATATTTCTGTTGGCACAACCCTATGCCTTTTGCATCTCTTAAAATCTCCACTCCCAAGAAGTATTTGGCCTCTCCTAAATCCTTAATGGTAAATTCCTTGTCAAGAAATCCCTTCAATTTTTCTAGTAGCTGAATATTGGAAGCTGTGAATAACACATCATCCACATATACCAGCATTGCCAAATATCCCTCTGCTCCCTTCTGAGTAAACAAACAATTGTCAGATGAGGATTGAACCAAACCAAATTCCAGCACTTTCTTAGTAAGTTCAGTGTTCCACTCCCTTGATGCCTGCTTTAACCCATACAAACTCTTCACCAACTGACAAACTTGTCCTTCTTTTGCCTTTGTGTACCCTTGTGGTGGTTTCATATACACCTCCTCTGACAAATAGCCATGCAAAAAGGCATTATTCACATCTAGCTGCCATAATTTCTATCCTTTCATTGCCACCATAGCTATGAATGCCCTAACTGTCACCAACTTTGCAACAGGTGAGAAAACCTCAAAGTAATCAACACCTTCAGTTTGACTGTACCCTTTGGCAACCAATCTTGCCTTGTACCTATCTACCTCTCCATTTGCTTTCCTTTTAACCTTAAACACCCATTTTGAGCCAATGGCTTTTTTGCCAGTGGGTAAGTAGCATAACTTCCATGTTCCATTCAGTTCCAAAGCTCTCAACTCATCATTCATTGCCTCCACCCACTTCTTATCTGTCTTTGCTTGATAATAGCTGAAAGGCTCCTGATCTGCTGCTAGATTTACAAAAAATTCCTCATCCTGGGAACTCATTGGACTTGCTTCTCCCATATCACAAATGTAGTCCTTCATCCAGGCAGGTCTGCTTCTTTTCCTTTTCCCAATATCTTCTACCATCACTCTCTCTTCTGTGACTTCTTCACTTTCTTCATTCTGAACAGACTCTTTAGTGTATGAGAAGTCTTCATGTACCACAGGCAGTGTGGTGTCCATCTTTGTTCCCTTCATTTCTTCTTTCTTGTAGGGATAAGTGTCAGTGAAGAAAACTACATCTCTGGATACAATGACCTTGTCATTTTCCAGATCATATAAGTAATATCCCTTGCATCCCGCCACATACCCAATGAAAACACATTTGTGGGACCTGGGATCCAACTTGCTTCTCTTTGGTAAAGTATTGACAACATACACTAAACAACCAAAAGGCTTAAGTCTGTGGTAATCTGCACCTTTGTTGTACACCCTCTCATATGGTGTATCCCAGTTCAAAGAAGAGCTTGGCAGCCTGTTGATAATATAGGCTGCTGTGAGTATTCCATATGTCCAGAATCTCAATGGTAGCCCTGACTGAAACAGGCAACTTCTTGCAACTTCCAAAATCTGTTTATGCTTCCTCTCCACCACCCCATTTTGCTGAGGTGTGTAGGCACATGTCCTTTGATGTATGATCCCTTCTTCTGAGAAAATCCCTTGGCATTCAGTTCCCACAAACTCTTGTCCATTGTCACTTCTAACCACCTTGACTGTCTTCTTGAATTGTGTTTTCACCATCCTCAGAAAGTTTCTGATGTGTTTGATAGCATCTCCTTTAGTTTTGATCAAGAAGATCCACACAGCTCTACTATAGTCATCTACCACTGTTAAAAAATATGGAGTGTTTGTGATACTTTCCTCTCTGCATGGTCCCCACAGGTCCATATGCACCATTTCAAAACAGTCCTCAGTGTGGATCTTGCTGGTTGGGAAGGGAAGTCTATGTTGCTTGGCCTTGAAACATATATCACATTGTTTCACGTTCTGTGTCCTCCCTTCATCACAGTGCTCCTTGAGGAAAGGTAGGTGCTGTAAAACCCCATGTGATGCATGACCCATAATTTTATGCCAATCCTCCAAAGAGATTTTGCATGCTAAACCTTTCTCATCCCCCAGATTATGCTCACTTAGCACATACAACTTCCCTTGTAATGTTCCATAACCCATCACTTCATCTGTCCTATCTTTCTTAAACACACAGCTCTCTGATGTAAAGATGCACTTCAATTTTGAAGCTTCACAAAGTTGAGTCACAGATAACAAGTTGTATAGAAAGGAAGGTACATAGAGCACCTCATGTAAGGTCAATTTTTCTGACAGCTTCACCTCTCCAACAAGTGACACCAACTTCTCAGAACCATCTGGTAAGTATACTGTGATAGGAGTTGCAAGGCTAGTTAGGTTCCTCATTGCCTTCTTGTTTGTGCACATGTGTTTGCTGGCACCAGTGTCAATAACCCAAGCCCTTTCATTCTGTCTTTCATACAGTGATAATGCATAATGTGATAGATCATCATTTTCTTCACCTGCAAAGTTCACATAGTGTTCCTCTTCCTTGCTTTGCTTTCCCAACAGTTTGGCTACCTCTTGTGCAATAGCTGCAATGTCTGGTCCATTACTTGTTCTGGATGATTGTGAACTAGATTGATTGTCAGCTATGTCAACTGCATTGGCTACAGATTTACCTTTCTTATCCCTCATCTCCTTAAACCATTCTGGATATCCATGCAATTTGAAGCATGTTGATTTTTCATGTCCATTCCATCCACAATTTTCACATAGAAATTTTGACCTTTCTTCCTTTGACATTCTGTAGCCACCTTTCCCTCTCCCTACTCCTTGTTGCATGTATTGTGGCCTTACATTATTTCCTCTTATTTGAAAGTTGGATTTAAAAGCCATAGCCAGACTGTGAGTGTTATCCTCCATTCCAACTTGCACTGATCTCTGCCTCTCAGCTGA